TATAGATCATCGCAAGTTTAAACTACTTGCATCAGATAATATACGGACACGGACCAAATAAGTATTTATTTACCTGAGAGCAGTTGCGCTTAAGTCCGAGTCGAGCATAATGATCGCTAATCTCCTCTCGGTATCGGGTGGAGTTGTGGAAGTCTTTTCTCGACTGATAACAATACTCAGTACGTAGCGGGTTTACCCTTTGCGAGTCAAATACATTTGGCCTGCTATTCTCGTGATATTGGTATTGTTGTTGGCCGAGATGATTATGATATTGATGCAAATAGTTCTTTAAATTGAGCAAAATCATGCCTATCGCTTGTGGATGACCGCTCACATATCTCGCACTCTTAATTTGTATTTGATGTACGTGACATTGCCACGTCTTTTTGGTAGCTTGGTGAGTCGTATCTTAAGTTCCAGTGGTCAGATGTGGCCAAATCGAGAACAATGCATATAAAGTGCTGAAAAGATTACGACGTGAACTTGTCTATAACTGTAAGTACGATTTCAAATTCAAGCCCCTTAAATATTATAGCTTAAGTTGTAAAGTGGACGAGTTCCTGACAAACGTAGGTTCTTCTAAAGACATTCGAGAAGTCGAAATGACTAAATTCTTCTTCAAAAGAGGTTAAAGATTTTTATGCAAAGAAGTATAAAAAATAGTTGCGTTACTCCGTAAAGTGATGATGAATAGTTACGCCTAATCGGAACCATTCTACTTTTAGAACCGATTACGCTTTTTTGGGTGCACGTGCAAAATGTACCAATTACTATACACTGTTGTACAATCCACCGATAAGCTAAATACGACCTTATTTCTATCATTATCAGGTGCTTAACTATACTCAACTACCGATTGAAGGTAGCACACTGCACCTTGCATTCAGCACGATCTAGTTATACTGTGTAACTGTAAGCAAGTACACATCCAAGATGTCGAAGAAAGACTCTAAGAAGTCGAACAAAAAAAATAGTACGAAGCCAGCGGATGTCCCGCAGGGATTGTCGAAAGACAACTTGGTGGCCAAAGATGACCGATTTAAGTCAATGCATCATGACCCACGATTCCGCGTACGTATATATGAAAACACGTGAAGATGTAATGCTACGAGTCAATTTCACACACGTACATTCTACTATTAGTTCTCACACATGCGATACATTGCTTGCAAGTACTTGCTGTCATATGGAGCAATTTCACCTAGTTTATATGTTTATCAATACATTTGTGGCTGTACGTATACACGCAAACACACACAAACACACACATACACACACACACACACACACACACACACACACTACACAC